ACAAACAACCTTGTTACATAAAACACCTCTCTAAGCCTTAACCTTTAACGACTCATCCCAGGGGCACTAGTTTCAAGGTATTGCATAAATCATCATCATGCATCAATTATGTTGCTTCGCTAGCATCAAACAATGCATTCATCTAACTTTTACTGCACAAAAAGCCCAACCTTTCTTGGCACTTCACACTTACAGCCAAAAAGCCCAATTTAATTTGGCATTTACCGCCAAAAGCCCAATTTCACTTGGCATACACACAACAAAATCTAATTTTCACAAAGCCTAACCTTTCTTGGCATCTGTCACCTACATATCCAAGGCCCAATCTTCATCAGCATGACATGAGATCAATACATTACATGCTTCGATCATTGCATTTCATCCATTAAAAAAATTTCTCCAAGGATCTGTTGATTATGGAACTATTTCAAACTTGAAGATACTGGGGTAGATTATCTCAAGTGGGTATGGTACAAGATTTCTTTTAGGTATTCTCGAGGTAAATTCCTTCATAGACCAAGAAGCCTGGGGCACAAGGAACGATTGTTCACTTGTGACAATCTTTATGCAGCACGACAGAGTTGAAGCACCGAGGATTTTACTAAGGATAGTTGGTGTGACTTTTCTCCCAAATTTTGGTTCTCAGTTTTCTTTTCCCGAACAAGGTGCCAGAAGTTTTCTTCTCCCCAAGCAAAGAGTCGTTCTACAGTAGAGGGTCTTTTTTCCCGATAAGGGTTCCTTTATGAGGATTTTCCTCATGCCCATCAGCATAGGAATTCCTTATTCCCAGTAGCGTAGAATGATGGAGTATTTCTCAAAAATATGGTGAGAAGTCAGGGTTTCTCTTCCCCCATAAGACATGATTGAATATTGACCGCCGCAAGTCAAAACCCAACGGTTATTGGCATCCTTAGCAGATCAAAGACTAATCTTCATTATCATTTCCTCTCAGAAGTTTGTAATTCAATTGCAACTCTCTGCAGAGTGGGTAACCTGGTACTTATTGGCACCCAATTGATTATTTCCCCATAGATCATGTGAGTTCCTTCCTCAACAAATATTATAGATATCTTTTGTACATCCCCTAGTGGAATATCCTATCATTCATTATTACATACGATAATCATCATTACATTGCATCTACCAAAAATGCACAGCATTTCCATTTTTATGGAGCGTTACACCATAGAAAAATTCAAACATGCATTCAAGTATAAGCCAATTTTGATATTTCCCTGGAATATTTCAATTGATATATCCTCATAATATTTTAAATATCCACGAAGTACCCCAATAGTATCCCCAAAATTTCCAAAGTCTAGTATCTGTTTGACATCTTTTCCAAAGCCCAGTTCCTGTCTAGCAAACTTTTTTCAAATATTATTCCCCAGCAGCACTGAAGTTCTTACTTCTCCCCAGTGAGTCTCCCCAAACAGAGAGTTTAAGGTTGAGTGATTGGAATTATTGATAAAATATCCTTATTCAAACGCTTGAAGTTTTCTCCTTCCCAGTGGATCGCCAATCAGAGAATCTTTGCCATTTAACTTTGATTGATGAGTTTCTTGGTAGAGAATTTTCATTCCCCAACAGATGTTTGTGGAGAATGTCTGTTCCCTGAAGAAGATATTATTCCCCAGCTGAAAGATCTTTTCTCCTCCCCTAGGCTAGAGTTCAAATTGATAATCATTCTTATTCCCCGATGGAGTTGCTTTATTGAGATTGCTTATTTAAGGATTCTCTTTTCCTCAGCAGAAATATATCTTATGACTCTTTGTGCCCTAGCTAAGTCTAGTTGAGATTGTTCTCATCCCCAGTAGAGGCTTATTATTGAGATCTCTTACTAAAGATTTCTCATTTACCCACCAGAGTTGCTTTATTGAGATCTCTTACTCAAGATTTCTCGTTTCTTTAGCGAAGTTGCTTTATTGAGATCTCTTATTCACGATTTATCATATCCTCAAAAGAGTTTATTGGCTAAGAAATATTATTCAAGGATTCCATCTTTCCTCAGTATAGTTTGATCCTGGTTGAGAATTTCCATATCCTCAAAAGAGTCTACTGTTGTGACATATTGTTCAAGGATCCTCGTATCCCCGGTAGAGTTTATTCTTATTAAGATTGTCCTTATTCCTCATCAGAATTATTCTATCAAGACTTTTTGTGTAAAGATTATCGTATCTCCAAAAAAGCGTACTTTTGAGGTTTCGTATGCATAGATTACCTCATTCTCAGCAAGAGTTCCGTGCCTAAGTTCTCTTAATCCCAGTAGTGCAAGAGTCTGTCATCCCCAACGAGAAATTGACAGGTCATTCTCCAAGCGGCCAGAGGTGAATTTTGATTCCCCGCAGGTCCAAATGTCTATTGGTATCCTCCCTAACAACGCCCAATCTCCATTGGCATCCCCTCTCGGATTTGGAACTTTTCCAGCAGAGTTTTCAATTTACTTTTGCAACTTCTATCAGAGTTTGTATTCTGTGGTTACTGGTTATTCAGTTTGTTATTCCCCACAAAGATTTAGATTTTCAAGGATCTCTCTTCAGATGTCCCTTGTACCTTCTATGCCTCCCCGATAGAAACACGCATCATTACATAGCATCCTCAAATGTGTAGTGTTTCCATTCATCCTAGGATACTATCCCATAGAAAAACAATTCAAACATACATTGAAACATAAGCCATTTTGCTTATGTGTTCCCTAGTGGAGTTACTGAAGTCTTTGGATTATTTCCTCAGCAAGGTCACTTTATCTTTAGTGTCCCAGTTTTTATCCCCATGAATATCCTTTCGATGTTACCCTCAAATGATCGAGTATCTACTCGTTACCTTTCACTTGTGATCTAGTTCTCCCATGTCTCAAAATTCTTGGGTTTAGCATATACTAACCTTCTTGGTTCATTCCAATATCCATTGGTGTACCTTTTGAATCCAATTCTACCCTGATATTCATTTTGAGTCTAGTATCTACTAGTACTCCTAGGTCTAGTGTCTTCTCTTTACCTATGTGCGTGATCCAGTTTTGTCCAGTTACTCATCTTTAGTCAGGTATCTACTAGTCTTTTTTAGTTGAGTCTCTACTCATTTTTATGTCTCTTTTACTCCTTGGTTAGTTTTAGTATATATTATTTATCCTCGATCAAGACCAATAGGTGTTATTGAAGTTTGCGCACTTTCTAGTCACCTTGTTTAGGATCCACTATCTATTGGTATCCTTTTGAGTACTTTCAGGACTAATATCTACTATTTTTTGTTAGGTCGAGTATCTACTCGTTACCCTGTTTGTGCATCAGTCTCTACATGGTGCATTCTTTATAGTACTCTCTTAGGTCGAGTATTTACTCATTACCTTTGCTCGATCCCCCAACATTTGACTAACGTTCTAATGGTTTGGTTCAGAGTCTACCGACCCTTGTTGGTCGACACCAGTTTCTACTGGTATACCCTTTCGGATCCAATATCCATTGGTATCTTTAGAGTCTAGTATCGACTAGTCTTTTGGGTCAAGTTTCTACTCATTATCTTATTTGTGCATCATTTTCTACCTGGAACATTCTTACGAATCCAATATCCATTGGTATCTTTTGAGTCTAGTATCTACTAGTTCTTCTTAGGGCGAGTATTTGCTCGTTACCTTCATTAGCAAACTAGTTCTTCCCTGGTGTGTCCCTTCTAGAGTATGGTATCTACTAGTCCTCTTGGGTTGGTGTCTAATATTTATGGGCATATCTTTCGAGTACAGTTTCTACTGACACTCTTTGGTAAGGCTTAGTATCCAATGGTCTTTCCTTCCTTTATGCTTATTACAACCCAATTTGTTTCGTATCATCATTTAAGAAAATACGAAAAAATGCAGTTACTAGTGTTTTTACACCTTTGCTTTATCCAGAGTGCAAATTTATGGGTTCTTTTGATATTTAATGTTCTTCCACCTCGAATGTCTGAAACCGTTGCTATTCATACCTTCAGGTTTAAGATGATTAAATAGGGGAAGTTTTTGCACCCCATAATTGTACTTTTATCTGGCTTATGGTTCTCATTCATATTCATGCATTTCATAAGCTCTTAAGACGTGGGATTAAGAGTTTCTTGTGATTTGAGTTTTCCCTATTCAAAGGTGATTTCTCTGGCTATTTCACTCAAGTTAGAAAGAGTTGGAATGCACATCATTATAAGCCTATCAAAGGTTTTCAAGAGTATTGTTATACCCCAAATTTTGCACCCTTCATATATTTCTAAACGCCATTATATCTTGAATGAGTGCATTGGCCTAGCGAATAGTATAATGAATATATGGAGTTACATATGCGAGAGGTCTTGGATTTGAATCCTTACTTTTTGTACTTTTTTTTCATTTTTTTCACTCTTATTTATTCTTCCCTTAATTACTAACTTTATTTGCATTATTATTAATCATAAAAATATAAAAATGTATTTTCCTTTTTAATCAATTTTCGTTTTTTCATTTACGAATTTTTTTAAATTATTCATTTATCATTTTTTCATTTTTTATCAGATAAAATAACTAAAAAAATCATAAAATAAAATAAAAAAGATTTAAAAAAGATTTTGTTCAACTTTTTAAATGTTGCATTTTTTAGGATAATTTTCATTTAAGGAAAAAAAATCAATTTAATTGATTAAATATATCAAGAATTAAAATCAAATCAAATTTGATTTATATTATTGATTATATTAATTAACTCTCTTGATTATTACCATTTGTGTTAACCTAGTTTTTTTTTTAATATAAGGAGGCCAATTTTTTCAAGAGAAAAAACCAACTTTTTCTTACGTGCATTACCATCAAGAATTTGTTTTCTACACCACTTTACACACTTGATGTACATAACCATCCCTAAGTTCACACATTGATTCTCATTCACAAAATTAACCATTTTGTATATAAATTTGTATTCAATTTGTAAACCAAAAATGGTTTTTGCCAAGAGTCAAAACCAATACCCTCACCAGACCATCTTCCACGAGACAGCAACTTTTCACAACTAACCTGCACCATATAAAACACCAAATCATGTAAAATTCAAACAAGCTCGACATCACACAATAGTCTATGCAACACAAGTATACAAAATATTGAAAACAAACTGAAACAAAAGAAAAAGTTGATGCGATCCTCGTTTCTGAGACAACCACGACCACGCATCCAGTCATAGTGAGAAGACAAAGCTACCGACGCAAACGAATTTGCGGCCGTCCACAGTGCCTTCCTCCGCCGATCTCCTTGCAAATGGGGCAACACGATATAACCCCGGCGAATCTTCTCCGACGTCCGCTCGGATGCCCGTTCCGACGACGCTGACAGCATCTCTGCCTTCCTCTGCGTGTCTCACCGATTCGCCGTTAAAGCTCCTGGAACCGGTAACGTTTTCTACCACTCTTCATTGCCTCTGTTGTCTCTACTGTGTTGGTAAATCATAGGGATCTATTGCTTGGTGAAAGAATTCGAGAAGAATTGGTTTTAAATTGAGAAGAGGAAACAAGTTGAATGAGAAGAAAGAGCGATAGTTTCGGTTATTGGGAAAGCAAAGAGTTCAGGGTTTTAAAAAACTGTGTGCGACCTTAAATACCGCTGTGACAAATAATTTTGGCAATCATTTTTTATATTGAAGAAAAAATTGTGATAAATTCACAACATGATCACCGCACTTATAGTTTCGAGAAAACTTTTCTTGTGATACAAACGTTACCATTTTTTAAAACTTTGAAAGTCCTCTTTTCATGTTATTAAAAAGGTGATTTATTTCATTTATTTATATTTTCTTTTATTTTGTATAGAAAAATAGGATAATGCACTTCTTTTTATTTTATTCATTATTTTCAATTATTTGTTTTATTTGATTTTTGATAAAATGCTGATTAATTGAAAGATCTAAATCCTCTTTTTTTAATCCTTAGTATTCAATTCCTTGATTTACCTTTTTTTTCGGCTCTTAATGTTTTTATTTTAGTAGCACTAACTTGTATTGAGATTTTGGACTTTTTAGTACTAGTCTATTTTAGTAATAGAAAAAAACAAATACTACATGTTAACTTTCTGAAATTGATATGAAAATGGGAGGCTGAGTTTTTCACGTAGAGTAATAGGAGTAATAATTATATATGCTAAGCTTCGGGTCATTCTCTCACTTTCTTTAATTCTACACTATTTTAGGTTTTATCTGTTTAATTTGTTTTATTAAATTAATTACATTAGTTTTTTTGAATTATTTTATTTAACTTAATTTTGTTAAAAGAGACACATATAACAATAATACAAAAGATATATAAAAAGTAATTCTTTTATTAAATTAATTTAGATTATTTAATTAATTGTGTTAATCATTTAATAGGTACTAATTTAATTTAATTTAATTTATTTTACTAATTAAATCATAAAAACTAAATAAAAAATGGAGACAATGACCAGCGGCACCCCTATCCCCTTTACTGTAACTTCTAGTTCTTTTTTGTTTTCATTGTTTATTTTGATTTTGATTTATATTTTAGTTAGTATTTTGATTTGATTTTTAGGTAGCACATCTAATTATATCTAACAATAATGACAACATATTCTCCTAATTAATTTTTACATTACGTTAGTTTTATTTTTTTTAATTTATTTAATTAGTTTGTTTTCTTTTAATTATCATTGATAAAAAATATTAAAATACTAAAAAAACATTAGAAATATTATAGACAAATTAATAAATATTTTTTGTTGTCCTAAATAATAGGATAGGTGGATACGCTTCCATCATATCATTGAATAATCAAATAATTAATTGATCGGCTTAACGCCTTACCGATTGAATATTCAAATCAAAACATTAAAATTCACGACAATTCATCAAATATTCTTTTCATCAATCAAACTCTTTCGCCTCTTTGTGATAAATCAACTCAATTTCTTCGCCCTCACGCGATTTAGTTCTAATCAAATTCAAATACTTTTTTCATAATCTAAATTCAATCAACCAAACACATTTCAAATACCTTTTTCATAATCTAAATTCAATCAACCAAACACATTTGAACTACGAGAATCTGATTTCTCTCACCTCTTGATGAAGATACGTAGGTACACGGTTGCAAGACCAAGGTGAGTCATCTAATAATTTTTTTCCATTTTAACCCTCGTATAGATATTTTTCCTTTAATAACAAATGAATAAATAAAAGTAGATTCAACAAAAATAAAGTAAACACGCCTATTAATTCTAAGATTAGAGAAGATTCTCCTTGAGTACAAGGGAGGTGAGGGGGTGTCTAACACCTTCCCCTCGCTTAATTGACTCCCGAACTCTCAACTTAGTTACAACGACTGTCTTATCCATACTTTAGGATTTTCCCATTAGGTTCCCCATCCTTAGGACAAATAAATAATGGTATTGACTTCATTAATTTAACCAGGTGTTACATCAGTCTAAGAAGATAGCCAATTTGGAGAAAGGTCTCTTCGAGGAGAAGAAGCGAAGGGAGACTTTGGAATCGGAGAGTAGGGCTTCCCTTTCCCATCTTAACGATAAGTTGAAGTCGACAAAAGCTTCCAACGCCGAGCTTAAGGAGACCCTTAGGAAGTCCCATGTTGATCTTATTTCTGCTGGTGACGAGGATTTGATAGGGCCAAAGATCAGATGTTGTGCCTTCATCCCAACCTGGAGTTATCTGTGATGGGCTTTTTTAAGGTGGTGCGGGTTGGCCGCCTTCTGGACCTTGAGGAGGTGGAAAAGAACCCTTCCTCTAAGATGAATCCCGAAGACCCCCTGGGTGAGGATAACAATAATGGTGACGGGAAGGATAACCCGATCGAGTGATTTTTTTCTCCTGTTTCGTATTGGTTAGTCATCTGCTAGGATTCACTTATGTAATTTTGCAAGGGAGTGTGGTTTTGTCCATCCTTTTTCTGTTGTGGTTGTGACTTCTGCCCTCCGGGGCCTTGTAATGAATAACTTTTTGACTCTTGGGTCTTTATAACGCCATTGTCTGTTTCATTTTTATTTATTTGCTTGATTTATATCCTTTAATATCATTGTTTTTAAAATAATCATGTGTATGTACCTAAGCCCCCGGGACACGAAGTCTGCTGGGCTTAAGTGTCCAATCACAGAATTCCGGCTTGTAAACTTGGTAAGTGTTGAATACGTGATTTACACACGTGTTGGATTTTCTGGGCACATAGTCCCTGCGAGTGTGTGTTCATACACAGGTGTTCCTTTTGGCTTAAGATCCCCAAGCCTGTTTAAGGTTGGGTTCTATCCGTTTATTCATAGCGTTGGGCTAATGAGCCCCAAACGAACCCCTTAAGATACTTGTTGTTCCTGGGAGTCACCTCAAATGGCATTACTCAGACTTGTATCGTAATAGTTTGGTCTTATAAGCCTCAAGCCCTTTGAGGTTGGGTTAATATATCTGGTGACAAAGTCGATTATGCTAGATGCTTCAAGTTCGCATGGACTTTGGTTAGGCCAGAAATAACTTAATTCAGTAGAGAAGTTTACTCTACTCTGGAGTTTAACCAGTTGAGACTTAACTCAAATCTGGTAAAATACTCAACTCTTGGATGAGGAGTGTCAACTCGATATACTCGACTCTTTAATGAGGAGTTTCAACTCGATATACTCGACTCTTTGATGAGGAGTGTCAACTCGATATACTCGACTCATTGATGAGGAGTGTCAACTTGATGTACTCGACTCTTTGATGAGGAGTGTCAACTCGGTGTACTCGACTCTTGGGTGAGGAGTGTTAACTCGATGTACTCAACTCTTTAATGAGGAGTCTCAACTCGATATACTTGACTCTTTGATGAAGAGTGTCAACACAATATACTCAACTCTTTGATGAGGAGTCATAACTCGATCTGAGGGTCGAAAAGTCCAACTGATTATGTCAGAGGCTTCAAGTTCACTTGGGCTTCCGCTAGACCAATAATTTTATTAACGTGACCGGGCATCGGTCCAGGACCTTTACCTAAGGACTGGTGTGGTCGAGTTTTGCTTCTTCAGCCGACACCAAGTATTGTTCATGTAGAATAATATTACAAATTATTTCTTAACTTGGGTGCCTCATTAAAACTCTTTCTTTGCAAGGGAAAATAATGCATCCCGTACATTTTATTCATGATTGTATTACATAATTTTAACTGAAATAAAACCTAAGGTTGGATATATTCCATATCCTAGGTACTTCTGTGCCATCTAGAGTCTCTAGTTTATAGGCGTCGTTTCTCAACTTCTGAAGAACCCGGAAAAGACCTTCCAGTTAGTAGCTAGCTTTCCTTTGTTCTTTGGATCAATGATTCTTTTTAGAACTTAGTCTCCTATGTGAAATCATCTATGTATGACCTTTAGGTTAAACCTCTTAGCTAGTCTGTGCTTGGCTACGAATTCTCTATTATGGGTCGTTTCTCTAGTTTCATCAAGTAAATCAGAAGATCTATTCAAGTCGTCTTTAGTGACATCTTCACTAAAGTGTTCTCATCTCAAGGTGGGAGTGTTGAGTTTCATCGGTATCATGGCATCAACTTCATATACCATTCGAAAAGGAGTTTCTTGAGTGGTAGAGTGAGGCATTGTATGATACGACCATAGGATTTCATGCAGATACTCAGACCACAGATCTTTTGCTTCGTCTAGATTTTTCCTCATCTTGGTCAAGATGATCTTGTTCGCTTCTTCGGCTTGTCCGTTGGCTTGAGGGTGTTCTACTAACGTGAACCGGTTTTAGATACCTAAGTGTTTGCGAAACTCCACCAAGAAAGCGCTTGCAAATTGGGTCCCGTTGCTAGATACTATGATCCTGGGTAGGCCAAACCTGCATATAATATTTTTCCAATAGAAATGATGTACCTTCTCGACTGTGATACGCGCCACGACCTTAGCTTCAACCCATTTTATGAAGTAGTCCACAAATACAATTAAGAATTTGAACTGCCCAGGTACTATGGGAAATGGACCTAAGATGTCGGCACCCCATTGAAAGAAGGGCCAAGGAGAGAAGACGAAGTGTAACAACTCGGCTGGCGAGTGTATGAACGATGTGTATACTTGACACTTATCACATTTGTTTACAAACTCAATGCAATCTTGCAGCGTGCGAGGCCAATAGTACCAGACTCGAAGAATTTTCCCTAATAGGGCTCTTCCTCCAATGTGATTGCCACATGCTCCCTCTTGGAATTATTTTATTACTAACGTGGTTTCATCCTCAGATACACATCTCAACATAGGTGTTGATCTCCCCATCTTGTATAGCTTATTCGCCACCATGAGGTAACAAGAAGATATTTTCTTGATGCGCCTTACTTCGTTAACGTCTTTGGGCATAA